TGTCAGGATTTTCTCAAGGACTTGGGGGGGAACCCCATTAGAATCTTCTTGTCTTAGAAGTGAAGTGGGGGGACAGGGAAGGAGTGAACCATTCATTTGGGGAGGAAGAACAGCATATCCCAGTGGAAGAAAAACTATGAAGTCACCGTGAATCATTTAAAGTAGGCGTGTGTGTGTTTGTAAAGGCCCTCCCATTGTTCGTTGATTTGCTCGAGCGGGCCCAGTAACGTCTCCATTGGAGACTTTGTTGTTACTGTGTTTGGCATATGTAATACGTCACAGGGAGCTTGCCAGGCTCTGCCGTGCGGGCGAGATACTCTCGTAGCTTGCCGGGCTCTCCGAGAGGGGCGGAGGAATCGGAACTCGGGTCGGCCATGTTGGCTGCGTGCAAGGCAAACGCCCTACCACTGTGCTATCGCTCCAGCCCGTGTTTTTAAAGGGGAGCTAAAAAAAATTTTTTTGTTGCTATTTTTCAACTAATTTTATTCTACTTTATGAGCTTTCTGTCATTCAGAGAACTTGGAAACGTTTATTCTCCCTCCTACTGAATCTGTGGAGTAGGTAGGGGAGCTTGAAAAAGCTTGCCAAGATTCACTGTCCTCTGCCAATGGGTGTGGAAGAAGGACAACTAGGCAACAGGATGAGAGGTGCCAGGAGTGAGGGCTATCTTGGCACCAAACAGTTTGGAAGTCCTAGGATGTCACAGCTGCCTAACCCTAGGGCAGCATTCCCCATCCCCTGCCCCACACCCCGGGAAATAGGGAAGTTTATTTTCTATATCAAAACGGGGAGCTTATTTTACATATATTAGAAAGTCATCTTAAAGTAATGCATATCATGTGATTTTGATAAGACATTGCATGGAAAGGAAATAAAGATCATTATTCTGATTTGTTTCCTTCCTGAGTTGATTTGGACTCATGGCCAGTTTGGGACTTTCTCCCTGGACTCTGGGTTTATTGATAGAGGAGTTGGAATTTGTGGAGGGAGGAGAAGAGGGTATCTCATGAGCTCAGGAAGCAGGTTGGGTCTTAGGCTCAGAACAAGGAGAGAGGCCAGGTTGCTGGGAGGTCAGATTAAGTTACCTTCTATAGATACTTCTGTGTGAGAACTCTACTAGGAGGTCAGCCATCAGGAGAGAGCCAACATCAAGGCAAGTGGAATGGGCAGGGTCTGCCAAGATGGCATACTCAGGTGATGTTAGGGCAAATGCCAAGTAGCAGAGGTCAGCCAGGGCAGGAGGGTGTGACCAGAATTTTAGGCAATGGTTAGGGACTCCAAGGAAGTTTATAGGAGCCCAAGGGCAGCAGGAGTGTAAAGCATTGTCTTCCTAGGCCAACTAAGTGGAGTTTTGCCGTACTCCTGTGAGGCAGAAACCAGTACCCACAGGTACTCTCAGGCAGAGTAGCTACTGAAACATCAAGCTAGGAGGAAGGCTTGGGTCAAATTTTACTGAGAGCCTGGGGTTTCACATCTCGATAGTCTTCTTTACCCCCTCATTATGTTATAACCTTTCTTTCCCATGCTGGTTTTCATATACACTGGTGTACCTAGTCTTGGGAGTCCATCTGGACTAGTGCTTTACCAATACTTAGATTATCCATCTGAGCAAGGTTCTTCCTACTCATCTAATTTTGGTGCTGCCTAGATTTCAAAGCTAATGGCAAGATTGAATAGTTGGAAAATGTGCTGTATTACTTTTATTTTTTTAATAAGGAAGACATGTAATTTTGGGTATAGTTCAAAGGCACTTCATTGGGACATTGTTATAAGCTAGTCAATGAAAAATGTAAAAACAAATAAAAAAATAGGACAAATGATGATCTGGGTCCTTGTCTATATAGATGGAAAGCAATGTAAAACCAATGATATGTGTAGTAAAGGAGAGATTCATGGTGCTGTGAGATCATGCACATTGGTCTAGAGTTGGTTAGATGATCTGGTGAAATTGAATGTGGGTTAAGATGACTTTCACAATATCTAGTAATTTTCTGTATTGTTGAAATAAGGATAAAGAGGTGGAGAGTAACAGTATAAGGCATTAGGGTTTGGGTCAAACCTTGTGTTTTCTTTTGGAAGATTGGGTCAGAGAAAGTCTTGTATCAAGCAAAATAGCATAGCAGGTAGGGCATTTGCCTTGCACATGGCCGACCTGAGTTCGTTTGCTCTGCCCCTCTTGGAGAGCCTGGCAAGCTACCGAGAGTATTCCGCCCGCACAACAAAGCCTGGCAAGCTACCCTTGACATATTCAATATGCCAAAAACAGTGACAACAAGTCTCACAATGGAGATGTTATTGGTGCCCGCTCAAGAAAATCGATGAACAATGGGAGGACAGTGCTGTAGTGCTATGCACACACACAAACACACATATGTATAATAGATTTTTCCTAAAACACGAGACTCAATGGAAGATACCATTGGTATCTTGAGCTGTCAGACTTTCTGCTCAGTCTACTTGCTCAGTTGTAGGATACTCTGAGTTACTGCTGAGTCTTGCCATCAGGAAGGCTGTGCTTGGGTTTCTCTGGTGCTAGACTGTATTTGATGACACCTGGGAAGACATCTCTAGGCGGTTCAGGGAACCGACTTAACTGATCTGTCATTTCTGTGATGCACAGCTTTTACTTTGCCTTTCTTGGCCTGTGATTACACAGGCCATTACTCGACCACAGTGTGGAAATCTGTGAAGCGAAGCTCTCAGCTGGATTGGCAGGTTTCTAGGCATTGCATTGATTTGCAGTGACCTGCTCTTTGGTGGGCAGTAAAGACCCGATCACAGTACCCTGGAGAGATGTTCCTCGAAGGCACCTTGATGGATTCCAGGCCCTGTCTGCCCAGTGTGAGTCTGCACAAGATGTCTGAAGGCTCAGGTCTGCCATTGAGACTGTACAGTGCTGCTTTTATTGTAAGCCTTGGCATCAGGCCATGGTAGACAGCAGACTGGGGGCAAAGAGGGAGTCTCCTTTACTTACTCAGATGCTGTTCTGGCTGCTGACATGCTATTTTTTTAGAACAATTTATTTAAAATAAAGAGGAGTTAAGTAGTGGCTATCATAATGTGATTTGTGGAGTAGGTGAATGTTCTAAAACATTACATTCTAATGTCTAGACATAAATATTCTAAACATTCTATGCGACTTACCAAAGCCTTTGCAAAAGGACTTCAGAATCTGGGCATCAGAATTACCTGAACAAACCCCGGGCCTCCAAAACAGAAATTCTGCTCTAGTGAGTCTAATTCCCCTGTTTCCCCAACCCCCTCCAAATGCCACCCTGCACCAGCTTTCTAAGTGATTTTATTTTTTAGCTAGATTTGGGAATATGCCCAGCAATTACAGATTCAGGGAAGCTCTTTCACTCTTCACTTTGTTTTCTGATAACTGGCTTTGATTCCTGAACCTTAATCAAGGTTTTGTTCTTTTTCTTCTTTTCTTTTTTCTTCTCCCCTCCATTCTCCTTCTCTCCTCTCCTATTTCCTTCCAAAAGCTCTCTGTCTTTGAGGATATTGCCCCCCTGCCTTTATACCAGGGATGATGACTCATACCTTTCTTATCCTCAGAGAAAAGGAGAACCTGGATAGTCAGTTATTTTGGGACATTTTCTCCAGAACATCCTGTTTATGGCTTGGATACTTATTAGGTTCTAGCTGTTAACTGCCCAGTTCTGCCCACCCAGTCTTTACAGTTGCTCATTGTTTTTAAATTCTTTTTGAGTATTTGGATCTGTCTTTTACTCAGACAGAAGTAGGTCTTGTTTATTTTTATGTCTCTATTACCTCACACACTGCCTGGCATGTAGTAGGGTTCAGTAAACATCTGAGTGAGTGAATCAATACATTCTTTTAGGGGATGATATAAATAACTCCCACAAATATCTTATTTGTTGAACACTATTCATTTATTACACAAATGCTAGTACCTTGCATGGAAATTTATAGCCTTCCATTCAAGATGCATAGTAAAGGGAACTTTTCTAGTACAAAGAATAGTTTAGACATTAACTTAGCACATTGGAAGTAGTAGATGCATTGCGAATGTACTTTTTTTGTACTTAAAGCCACAAAATTATTGAAAACATCACATTAAGAAACAAATACTCAGAATGTAATTCTTTCTCATAGTCTTTGACAAATCAAGGGACAAGTGTTTCATTACAAATTGGGTGGGATATGTTTGCTCTATTTTCTTGAGTTTGTTCTTTCAAAGCTGTGTATATGTGTGTGTGTGTGTATATATATATATATATATATATATATATATATAGAGCTGTGTATTTTTGCTTCATAGAGGAGTCGGCTGTGTATTGGCATAGGGAGCCTTGGATTCTCTGTATTCTAGAATGAGTTCTACGTCTATCTGTGGGGGCAGCCAAGTTGGTTTTCTACTTATATTTGTTGTAATTGAGAGTGTGGTAACTGTTCAGAGACTGCAGGTGTCTTATCAGTGTGAGTTGTGGGCTACTGAAGTTGCTGTATTTACTCATTTTTCCTTGGAACATTGCCCCATTTTCTTTTGATTTCCCACTTTCATTATACTCACTGGTAGAGGGAAAGACGTCTGTTCCACAGTGCTTGTATAGGTCTTCCCTGGGTTGAGCAGTCTGGAGTGGTGGCCCTGGGTTTTTATGTGACATCTCTGATTTTTCATGTTTTGGGTGATGTTTTCTAAATTTACCCTGCAAATCAGTATATTATGCCTACAGGTTAGAGATGATCCACTGGACACTTCAGTTTGTGATCCCTCTTAGAGATGATCTCTAAAGCTTCTTTCGTTGCAAGATCCATTAATTCCAATCGGAACTGTTTCAGCTGATGAAATAGAAGATTCTTTTTCTACCCTCTTGGGGATGTTAGGGGAGAAAGGGACTGTGGACAGAAGAGGGTCATATGAGGGCTTGGAGCCTATATAGGGTTCCTGGCATCCATGTTTGAATGCCCCCTTGGGGAATGGGTGCATGGTGCTGATTCATAACAGATGTTTTATCTGTTGGTCTTCACAGGAGTGAGCATTTATCAGAAAAGCTGGGGAAGTCATCCCTCTGTCCAGAGCTCCAGGACCAATGCTGCTTTCCACCACCCTGGACCACTGGTGAGTACATGTTTTTTGCCATATGACTATCACCTCATCTCCCAGTTTATCCCCCAATTTTCAGAGTGATGCCTCATAGAGACCACTCCCCTCCCCCTGGAGTCCTTTCTGTTATAGGAGGAAGTATCATAGGTTCTGGTTGCTTGGTTTCTGCTGCTTCAACTGGGGGCTCTTAGAGCAACTGTATGACCTCTCTGAACTTCAGACATAAAAGTGAGGTGAGGCCTTCCCTGCTAACAGAGATAGTGAGAACACTGTAGTGAAAAGCTCTGGGCAAGTTTAAGGCAATTCTACTGGATTCTGAGGTATAGAACAGGGCAGTTTTAAGCTGGCAGATCAATGAAAATATGCACACATGTGCTGGAAACATAGTTTTCAATATTATGGAAGCCTCCAGAGTGGTTCTTTGGTAGATTTGCATTTTTTCCCCTATCATTTGCAGCTGTACTACCTCCCCACACCCCGAAAAGCTGGATTAACTGTGTTTCACAATCACCATCCTTTTTTATTTGCGCTCACATAATTGAACAGTTAACAAATACTTTTCTGTTTTTGTAAGAAATTTGATTTTTCATCATCGCAGGTAAATGTCTTGCCTCTGTGGCAGTTGAAAGCAGCAAAAATAGGTCCCTAAGAGCAGCTTTCCCTATGTGGAGCTGAGACTGTGCCCAGACTTGGTGGCATAGTCTGGATATTGAAAGTCCCCTGGAGCTTTGGAGGGGAAGGGTGCGCAAGTGTTAGGGAGGCAGGATGGCCTGTGTCACTTGATGGCAGCCACGTTTTGTTGAGAGAAGCTAGTTCATTTGCTAACTGCCTGGTCAACTTGTACCATTTGTTGCTTTTGTGACCCAGGTAGACAAATTCCAGTGGCCTGACAGCCGTGAAGTATAAAGGCTGGTGGGGATTGGGGTGGGAAAGACAAACAGTCATGATGTGGGGAAGGGGAACTCAACTCAGGCATGAGGGGAGGGACTGGCAGTCCAGACTATCTAGGAACACAGTGGACATCGGGTCTTTCAGCTGGAGTCTCATCTGGTTGGTAGGAAGAGCTTTGTGGTGGGAGTCCTCAGGAAGCGATGGATTCAAGTAGAGGGTGGACACCACCCTTCCCATCAGGATGTATAAATAATATCAGCTTTGCACCAAGACATTACTCTGGGGACTGGAAGATAAACTGGAAGATAAAGTAATAGTCATATGGCAGACTGTACCCCTGCCTCTCCAGAGCTCCAATTTAAGTAAATATCTGCATTGTTTCAGGTAATTGTAAGTGTTGTAAGAACAAATGAGGAGTAGGAAGAGGAGGTCTTTTTGAAAAGTGCTCTATGATCACGTGAGAAATTGAGGGAAGAAAAGAGGCAGAGAGAGGAGGGAAGCATGAGAAACAGACAGACACATAATGCATGAATGCAGAGATCTAAAAGGAGCAGTGGAATCTGGGGGTGTTTGGGCAGAAGGAGCAGCAAGTAACAAGAAAAGACTTTGATGTTGGCCAAGCTTGGTATGATAGGGAACAGGAAGACAGCCAGTTTTGGCAGATCTCTAGCTGATGGTCATTATGGGGATGGTGAGTAATACTAAATGAGATCAGTGGTTGGTGGGAGCCAGATCTTATAGCCATGATAAGGGGTTTGGATTTTACTTCACATATAATTGGTTATTATTGGAGATGTCAGAGTATAATTTGATAAAGACTAGCCAATATTTTTTGTGCTTTAATGATTTTTCTTGTTACCAAGTACATAATAGATTTTGAGGCAAGAGCAGAATCAGTATAACTTATAGGAGAGCCTTCTAGTGGTCTAGGCAAGAGATATGGGCATGTCTTAGATTAGCATGATATTCTTTTTTTTTTGTATTTTTTTCTTTTTGGTTTTTGGGCCATACTACCAATACTTAGGAGTTACTCCTGACTTCTGTACTCAGTAATTACTCCTGGTGGTACTTAGGGGACCATATGGGATGCCAGGGATTGAACCTAGGTTGACTGTGTACAAGGCAAATGCCTACCTGCTGTACTATTGCTCTGACCTGGAGCATGATGATTCTAGAATGATGTGAAGTGATCAAATTTGGGATTATATTTTGAAGATGATATCTCCTGGGTTGGGTATGAGGTATGAATGAAAAAAAGTATAGTGTCTTTTGCCTGGGTAAATGACATTGCTATTTATTAAGATTTGGTGTTTACTGGAACAAAGAGGGAAGTTGGGAATTCTTTGGAGACATTAAGTCTGAGTTGGCCATTTCATATTCTTGCTGAGTTGGAGAGTTGATTTGGGCTACAGATGGTACCTTGGAGAGTCATCAGGCCATGGAAGGTATTTGAAGCTAAGAGACTGGAATGAGATCAGTTAGGAAGAGAAAAGAGGGATGAATAGAGAAAGAGGGAAGGCAACAGATTGGTTTTTTCATATAAAATCCCTACTAGCAAATAAATTAAGACACATGCTAATGAATATGTACCGAGTCTATGTGATGCAGATATAAATCATTCAAATGAGACAATATGATATAAAAGTAGTAATAAAGCCTTGCCTTCTGTATTTTTAAAAAATGAAATATTGTGATTTCTCCCAAATCAAGGAAATTAGTTTTAGAATTGCCTAATTTTAAATCTGGTCAGCTGGGTGAATTATAAACTGCATTTATGCAGTTGGCTCATGGCTGTGTCTTTGACTGGCAAGCAGAAGAGTCTGTGAATAGTAATGCCAATAGTCTGTGAATGACACTATTCTGTACGTGGACTCTAGATCCTTCCATCAATTTTGATGACTTTGAGGTTTAATTCACTATAATAAGGTTTAATTCACTATACCTTTCATATTTTTTATTAATAATCATTTAGAAGCTCATTAAATGGTTTAGTGACCCTAAAGTAGAAAATATTAAGTGAACATAAACTTAATTTTGCAGTAAAAGATTTGATAAAGTTCTGTAAAGAGCCCTATGCTATGAGTCCACTAAAGATGAGATAAGCACCTTGATTTTGCAGGACCTTGATTTAGAAGCTTGATTTAGGTTATCTTTGAATGATCAAGGATCTATGCTGTAAAACACAATAATGTACTGTGTTGGTTGTAGTAGATGTATGCCTTTCAGGTATAACCCGCACTCCACTGACTTATGAGAAAAATACTTCTGTATGTTCTACTCTTTCAGGCTCCTGCTATTAAATGTAGCTGATCTAAGTGTGTTAGATTTATCCATTTTCTCAGACACAATGAAATTCCTACCTTTATTCATTGAGCTCCTTAGGTTTTTATTTTCAAGTTATTGGTGCATTTCTTTATTTTTTTCCTTTTATATCTTTTCACCTACTTAAAACATTTGTGTTCAGTCATGCTTCTTTATTCTTCAGTGAAGTTAGGTATGACACCACAGGTATAGGCTGACAACAATGCCACGTCTTATGGAGAATATTGGTGTTTAAAAATCTGGTTTTTCATTATTGAAGTGATATTTTTAACAGTGTTACTGTTTTTTGGGGTTTTGTTTGTTTTGGCCATATCCAATGTTGCTTAGACACTGGCTCAATGCTCAGGGGCTGGGGAATCACTCCCAAATGTGGTTCTGGGTTCAAGGTATGGTCTTCAGGTCTCCTGAATGCAAAGCTTGTGCTCCAGCCCTTTGGACCATGTCCCTGGCCTCAGTAATATTAATTTTTATGGTTTTAGTGTACCATTATTGTATCTCTGCCACCATCAACGTGACTGATGCTTTCTACCTCTGTCCTTACGTTCCTTCTAGTCTTGTCTCTTCCTCTTTCCCTATCACCCACTTTTTATCTCAATTCTGTTGTCAGAGTCTAAAGATTTGTATTTGTTTTATTTTGGAACCACACTGGGAAGTATCCAGGGGCTACTTGTGGCTCAGTGGTGAATGTGATTAGGTCAAACCTAAATGGGGCTTCTCCTGTGGGGGGGGGGGCGGGTGTACCCACCTATGTTGCTTGGCTTGCTTCTGGTTGTGCGGTGCTGGTGGAGACGTTGGTGGACCATATGCAGTTCTTACTGTTGGTTTACAAGACTTTATTTTAGGGGTAGACGTTTATATCTCTTCAAAATGTTTATTGAAGAGGTGTAAATGCTGGGCATCTCTTCAGTCATGTTATTTCCGGGCCCCATAGATATTCTCCTATGCTCAGGGAGACATTAAGACATTTACTCCTGGCTCTGTGCTCAGGGATCACTCCTTGCAGGCTCAGGGCACCATGTGGCATGCCAAGGATCAAACCCAGGTCAACCATATGCAATGCAAGTGTCTTACCCATTGCACTATCTCTCCCCCTATCCATGGTCTTCATTGGTTCTGAGGCTCCATGTTCATGAGCAACTTGGAAATAGGCTTCTTTCACTTAGCTTTTATAGTTTTGCATATTTAGTGATATGGCAGTCCAGCCACTTTCTTTTGTTCCTTCTATTTTCAAAAAGGAAAGACTGTTAAGATATATGGATCATAAAATACATGATCCATATTTTATTTCTGCTCCAGACAAATAAAGATTTGAAGTGAAATGTTATTGCATTGAATTGATCTACAAATTATGGGCATCTCAACTGGACAGTTTCCTGCCAACCTTTAGTGCAAAGTCTTATTGCATTGTGAATAGGATATATAATCCACAATCTATTGTGGTTGATAGTTTCTAATTTCAGATTTCAGACAAATTAAAGAAGAACCCAAACTCATTTTCCTTATCTTAAAAATCTCAGCTATATTGGGAGTAGTCCTTGAGCATCAGCAGGGTAGGATGGGGGAATGGGGGGTGGGAGGGATACTGGGATTAGTGGTGGTGGAGAATGGGCACTGGTGGAGGGATAGGTACTCAATCATTGTATAACTGAAACCCAAGCACAAAAATTTGTAAGTCTACAACTGTACCTCATGGTGTTTCACTAATAAAAATTAAAAAAAATAAAATAAAAATAAAAAAGAATTAAAGTATTTATCTCAACCAATAATGATTATTTTTATAGTATTAGTAGCCACCTGGTGCA